TGGTCCCAATTAAAAACAAATAGCTGGGCTGAGGTTGTAGCTCAGTGGTAGAGCGCTTGCCTAGCGCGTGCAAGGCCCTGGGTTCGATCCTCAGCACCACATACAAAAATAAATAAAATAAAGATGATATTGTGTCCAAATAAAAATAAATATTTTAAAAAACAAAACAAATAGCAAGTGGCAGTTCAGGCCCAGCCAGATGAGTGATGACATTAAGTGTAAGGGATTCCATACTCCACTTAAAATGCAGGCTGTGAAACCAATTTAACAATACCAGGGTTACCAATGTATCAGCAACACACCTGAAATATGAAAGGCTTACTGGGGAAATAGGCCATTCACGTGCACACAAAGACAATTGCATCTAGCTATGCCTGTGAGGGAACAAGTCTGAACAGTAAGTTTGATCTGGGACACTGAATCTCACATGAGGCCCCTTAGAAATTCCAGGAAGTTTCACAGAAGCAGCTGGAATGTGAACCTGGGGCCTAATAGGAAASAGGGTCCCCATCACGGTGATAAGAGCCACAGAGTAGAAAGTGGGATTCAGGAGACTACACAATGCAGAAGTCCTAACCTGATGGGCTTCTGGGGCATCTATGAATCCACTGAAACCATAGGTAGAATTCTGTGCAGGATATGTCTGCATTTTTGAGGTAGGCATTCACAGGTTTCATTAGGTTCTAAAATAAATTCCTAAATCTAAAAAGCTTAAGAACCAATGGAGGAGGGAGAGGCTGAGGAGAACCTAGAGGGCACTATRTATTAAACTGTGCAGCAACTCTGGAGTTAGACCACGGTGGGAAAAGGCATGGAACATATTAGCAGCTCACTTCCAGCTTGCCATGTGAGTCACACAGCCACAAAACACATGACTTTCCATTCAAAACTGGGCAAATTGTCCCTGAAATGAGCTGACTCAGACATCATTACTGTTGGACTCCCCACAACGGTATGAAAACCGTCTTTGTAACCTAGAGACTGAGATTCTGTWTTCCTAATCCAAATGTGAGTTTTCTCCTCCCCTCACCCCATAAATCAGGGACCATTTCCCCAGCCACCTTCCTTTTCTGGAGCCCACCTCTAACAATCAAGTCTCTTTGCAAGCAGGACTTGCTGAAACCCAGGGCCACCAATGCTGGCTACATTAGCATTTGAGTTGCCACAGGCAGAAGAAAGCTCTGAAGAGCCTAGACTTGAGTGATACAGGTGATGCCTAACTGTAAATGTTGCAGCAAACAGTCTTGGAGAGGCGGCAAGYAGCACTCTGGGGCAGGAGGAGAGCTCCAAGCTTTAGTTTATGCGGAGGGTGGGGAGGTGGGGACACCATGAGGAGGACATGGGGGGGGGGGGGGGAGAGGGGGGGGGACAGAGGAAAACAAACACACACTCCAAATTCTGAGCCCTGATCTACAGTTTCTCATAATATTTACAGGTTATTTGGCATCATCTTAGACCTATTCTAATATTAGGGCTTTTTCCATCTTTTTTAAAAAAATTCCTAACCTATGTGGCTGAGGGCCTTATGCAGAGTCTCTAACATGAAGCATGCTCACAGAAACAGGTAATTCTGTTCACAGGTGTTACACTTCAAGAGGGAGTGGTCAGACTCCTGGGGCAGTAATTTATAATCCAAAAATGTAGGAACCCATGGTTAATTAGGCTTCCTGGAAAAAGGAAGAGAGAAAGAGAGGAGAGCAAACCAACCCCTTCCCCAGGCACTGGTTTCTTACCAATTTTTGTAATTCCATTCCACGAGCTATCACATAAGAACATTTATGAAACCCAATTTCAAGACACACAATGGCCTCTGTTGTGCTTCATTACAAAGGACTCAAAATACAATTATAGTTCACATTTTATCTTTTCTTCCTCAAAATTATTGTCAGTTAAGAGACAGGCAAAGACAAAAAAGAAGGAAAGAAAAGCTGTATTGCAGTGTCCTCTGAAACCCTTCCAGTCACCAGTGTGAAACCCATTCTTCAGTCACACGGACTCAAACCAGAGCAGCTTCCTGACTTGCCCCTCAGGAGCACTGAGAGCAGCATCGCCAAGCCAATGGTAGTGGGGAACCCACACTGGCTACTGCTCTGGGAAACCTTTGCAATGCCATGTAGTCATGTATCCTGGTTCATAAAGTCCCCCAGCAGAGGAAAGCTATAAATTACCAGTTACAGAAAGGCAATCAAGACTATGAAGGCAGGATGCTAGACTGATTTCTGCTTCATTTTTAGCAAGTTGTAGTTCACAAAACTTTAAATCACATAAAGCATTTTAAAAGTCAAGAGGCAGTACATGAAAGAATGTATACACACAGCTAATAACTAGAAAATGTTCAATTATGTTAGTCAATGGAACCTATTAAAATTAGCAAAAATCTAAAATAGAATCACCTCTATTATGCCGGTAATTTGAAAGTATTTTTTTAAATATTTTTTAGTTGTCAATGAATCTTTTTATTTTATTTATTAATATGCAGTACTGAGGATTGAACCCAGGGTCTCACACATGCCAGGCACCACGTGCTGTACCACTGAGCCACAACTCCAGCTTGAAAGTATTTTTTTAAAAAAATCTTGGGCTGGGGTTGTGGCTCAGCAGTAGAGCACTTGCCTAGCCCATGCGAGGCCCTGGGTTTGATCCTTAGCACCGCGTTAAAATAAATAAATAAAATAAAGGTGTGTGCGCCCAACTACAACCAAAAAATAAATATTTTTWAAAAATCTTATCAAGATATATTGAGCATCTTAAAAAAATCCCAGATGGTTGGACCTGGCTTACTCCCACTTTTATTAGTCTAAATGTAAATAAAAACCTAAAATTTAGTATTTCAAAGATGTTTGATACAGCATCGTCTGTCAAAGAGAAACACAAGAGAAAAATGGCAAGATGGACTRGGGACATTTACTAGGGAGATGTATTCTGTTTGCTCATCTATTCGTTCATTCACTGCTATGTTTCAGGAAGGACTGGCGATGGCTCCTGTGATGGTACACTGCATTATGCGTAAAAAAGCAGGCACACGATGGGAAATGTCCATCAGTACTAATAGGAAAAGGTTAGACAGAAACTGCGTGCATAAAGGAAGAAATATAACTTATGATCTTACCTTTGTTTAATAAAATGCAGAGGGCAGGGAATATACTAAAATATTAAGAATWGTATGTATCCAGGTAATATTATAAATAATTTTCATTCTTCTACCATTTTAATTTTATATAGTGAAAAAAAASCTTTTTATTATAAATATGTATACTTAGGGAGGTACTGGGGATTGAGTCAGGGGCACTKTACCACTGAGCCACAACCCCAGCTGTTTTAGCTATTTCACTGCTGTGACTAAAATATCTGAGCAGAATAACTGTAGGGGAGGAAGAGTTTATTTGCAGGTTCATGGTATCAGAGGTCTTGGYCCATGGAAGGTCGCTCTATCTCCTCAGGGCCCAAGGTGAGGCTAACCATCATGGCAGGAGAGCGTGGCAAGAGGGAAGCAGCTCACAAWGTGATCAGGAAGCAGAGAGAGAGACTCCACTTTCTAGATACAAAATATCTACCCCATAGCCATGCTCCCAGTGAGCCACCTCCTCCAGCCACACCCCATCTGCCTCCAGCCACCAACCAGTCCATCCCATCAGAGGTTAATTCACTGACCCTGTCATTTCTCCCCTGCACCTTCTTACATTGTCTCACACGTGAGCTTTTGGGGGACACCTCACAKCCATACCATATCACCAGCCCTTTTTTATTTTTTGAGAGAGGGTCTTACTAAGTTGCCCAGGTCTGCCTCAAAATTGCAATCTTCCTGCCTCAGTCTCCTGGGTAGTTGGGATTACAGGCATGTGCCACCACTGCCAGCTTGAACTTAAATTTTTATATTAAAAATGTTTATATGGGCTGGAGATGTGGCTCAAGCGGTAGCGCGCTCGCCTGGCATGCGTGCGGCCCAGGTTCGATCCTCAGCACCACATACAAAGAAAGATGTTGTGTCCGCCGAGAACTAATAAATAAATAAATATTTTAAAAAAATGTTTATATGTAAGTATAAAAAGGATAAAGATTACTTAAAGATAAGCTTATTTTCATATTCAGTGGTTTACAATAGACAGCCCTTCCTACATTGCCACAAATGAAGAACCGAAGGAGGAACTGAAAGTGACTAAGAGCAGGGGATCCACACGCGRATGGCCTCAGGAAACACATTTCACTGTCACCAGGTTTCCAACTAAGAGTACCAAAAGGAAGAGAATAAACAGATGACCCATCACAAGGCTATGGGGGAGGACACCGACATACACAAGAGAACATGGAAAAAGCTCTGGAGGTGGATGGTGACAGGAGCCAGCATGAAGGGCTCAGTGCTGTGGCACCACACCCTGGAAGATGGCTGAAATGGCACAGTGAGGTCAGGGATGTCCGACAACAGTTGTTGGAAAGAATGCGGAAGGTCTGCCTTGAGATGGCAGCAGCATTCACCCAGACAAGCCCTTTCTGGAAGAGTGCTTGTAAAAACACCAACCTGACCTGTACAAAGGACAGCTAACTGCCCGTGGCAGCAGCCGTCCCTCAGCTGGAAGGCTGGTGCGTCCGTGCATCCGCCTGTTCAGCCACTCTTCCCACATACTGGGTCCCGAGAGGTGGTGCCTCCTCTATACAAACACTTAAGAGGAACGTATCCACTAGATTTAGAGAAAAAAGGCTTGAAAAGTAAGTCTTAATGATTCTGGTTTTATGCAAAGTTGTGGGAACTAGCTATGGACGAATCTCTCCAATGTGAGTACTACTCCTAGAAGGGGGTGGCACTCATTGAAGAGCTGTCCCCATGGTTCACAGGAACAGCCACAATTGTCTTTAAAATGCAGATTTCTGATAATAAAGCACTCATGCGCAGAATCACTCTAATTTAGAACAATTTTTTGATCATAAAAAAGCTAGAACTAAAATAAGGAAAAAGCCACTTGGAGTCCGACTGCGTGTCCAGTTGCTCTGGGGCACTCACTCACCCTTCTGGTGTTCTCAAGGATCCGGGGGTCCGGCTTCCCGTAGTTGGGTGGGTTGGCATAAGGGTCATATCCCAATTTGGCAAGCATGGGTGCAATCGCTGCCATATCTTGTAAGACATCTGGAGGRATCTTCCCCACCCATTTTGACAGAGCTCCCACATTGACTGGCTTGATGACTTGGTCTGTAGATCTCTCCACTCTGAAAACAATGCAATAAATACTTGCTTTAAATTTTTAAAATGTTAAAAAACACTAAATTATTTTTGATGACTTATAACTTAAAACTCTGAATTATTTTTGATAAAAATTATAATTGGATTATAAAGCAATTGCAAAGGAGGGYACTAATAAGGTTTAAATCTATTTACCAGACTTTTTAAAAAATAATTTAAGTTGGACAGTGATTACTGGCAACCTTAGTTTCTAGAAGCAGGGAAAAGGGTCAGGCTGAAAACATCTGTATAAACTGTGTTGACACATTGATCACAGCATGGGAGGGTAACAAAGGTAAGTCCTCTCAGAAAAACTGTCAACTTACTTGAAATGCATTAAAAAATGGGACTGATGGACGACTAGAGAGAGGGACAGAGATGGACAGGTATGTAATAAAGCAAACAGTAAAACGTTAACTGTAGAATCTTGCTGGTGGGCATGATTCTTGCGATTTCTTCTGCATGTTTGAAATTTTCTTAATAAAACACTGGGGGGGGGGGGGACCATGAAGCATAAACCATTAAGAACGCAAAATACCCACTTGTTCTATCTTTCTGTTGACTTCCCAAAGACTCCTATTTTCTACAGAAAAAGTGCTGCTTATGATTTTCAGTATCACAGAATTAAGACTACAGGACAATGTGTTCTGAATCTCGACCTGGAGATTACACCACCTTTGACCAAATGCCTAATGACCTTAAGATATGACATAGGGGCTGGGGATGTGGCTCAAGCRGTAGYGCGCTCGCCTGGCATKCGCGGGGCACTGGGTTCAATCCTCAACACCACATAAAAATAAAATAAAGATATTGTGTCCACCTAAAAAAACTAAAATAAATAAATATTTAAGGAAAAAAAGATATGACATAAATGAAATGACATCTGGGGTCCTACGGAAGTGCTCAGGAGTTTTATACCCTAACACACAGAAGCCACTCAAATCTAGCAAAGGTAAACGCTCTTTTCCTTGAGGCATCTGACTCCTCACTGCAGAGCTCATCACTGGATGAGGGTCTTTCAAAGACTCCGCTCAGGACAGATGTGCAGCAGGGTGGCTCCTCCCTGGGGGTCTGGCACCACCACTCAAACTTGCCTACTGTTCTACACCACATTCTTTCCCCTCAAGTTTTCTCAAGGATTCAACTTACGCACTTTCACCCTGTACAMGCCCCCGCCCCCCACCCCCACAGTATCACCCCTAAACATCATTGCTGGACATTCTTAACCCAGGTAAAGAGTACCTGGTTTTCCAGGACAGATGCAATTGGTAACAACTGCCCAGCCTCATCATGAGCAGCACTGTGGTAAAGTACACTGTCCTGCCCATGTRGGCTTCCTGTGTCTCAGCAGCAGGCCAGTCCAGTCTTGATAAACAACCCCACCAGAGACTGCGATGGGATGAGGAGAGCAGGGCCACTCCCCAGCTACCTCCAGTCCACATGCCGTACCCTCCTCATGGAGAGGACCACTTTCTCCTGCCTGCTACCATGACCYGAGTTCCCCTCTACCACTGAAAAAGCCCTCTGCTTGCACATCAATAGTGGTTTCCTTTTGGCTTATCTGCCGGGTTTCTGTTCTCTCAAAAGGGCTCAGGGATCACTCCAGGTAAACTGGGCTAAGTGGACTGTGCAAAATAACCACACAAGAGATACAAATACCTTTTTATTTGGGGTAGCTGTGACGGCTCCTCTGAAAGAGAGAGAGCGAGAGCATGCGCTGACCCCTTTTATCAAGGAGAAGCTATTCAAATGAGGCAAGGGGTCAGGTTTCAGGGGGCTGAGTCTATCTTCATGATGTCCACTGTCAACAGGTTGACTGACACCTGGGTAGGCCACACCCAAGAGCACAGTAAGAGAAGGGGACACACAGGCACTTCCATGGAAGATTCTATTCTAAACAGGGCAAGGGGTTATATTACAAAGAAACAGGTGAGCATAGCTTCACCCATGGGGTTGTAGCAAGACACACCCACGCACGAGACACCGACCCTCGAACCCAAAAAGAGTGGGGAAAGCTCTAACACATTTCTGTGACTGAGCGCCTCAGCACCCAGCCGGGGAGTGTAACTCAGTCACGTGCAAGGTTGGTCTCCCACATTTATCCATCACCCCACAGGATACAGGAGGGTCTGTGTCTTAGTAATCTCACCATCATCTACACCTAGTACATTAACATATGATGGATGTTCAATAAATCTGTATCAAGTAAATGACTGAAGCTTTTCATAGAAAAAAGCATGTTATAGCAGCTTATACAAATGGGCACAAGAGATTCAAGTATCATGCCTTGGTAAGACCATGGCTAAGGATGAGTAAGAGAGACACTAAGAGCATCCAGTGCTGACCTCTGTGTGCACATGGGCTTTAGAGAATGGGGGTCATGTCTGCAGAGACTTAAAGAACAAACAAACAAACAAAAATACTCTAGAAGGAAAAGAAAGGCTTGTAGGACACAAAGAGTGACATTTTCTGTCCATCTAAGTCAGGCATGGGGTATATATATCTAATTTAATCCTTACAACCACCCAGGAGAGGGAGGTGACCAATATTTACTTTMCAATGGGTAAGCAAGTGATTTGCCCAGGGTCACCTGCTCTGGGAATAAATGAGCTGGGTGAGCCCACAGTGTCTGCCTCTCCAGTGTCTCTCACTGCCACCTCCTCACCATCTGCACGCTTACCTCCTGTGCCTTCTTGAAAGCCCTGCCCTCCATCTGATGTAGCACAGATAGACAGGGCTTGACCGTTCCAGTTTACTGTAGATACAACAGGTACATACAGCGCTGCACTGGAGGTTTGACAATGCACTCACCAAAGCATGTTGTGGGGCATTTACTGAGGTCCACGGGTAATTCCTACCATGACTGATGTCAGCTGCTAATATGACCTTGCTCACTGCAGAACTGGGAAGAGATGCACAAAATGGGCCTCTGAACTGGGAAGAGCCAATCTCCATCAGGTAGACCCTTGGATAGCTAGGGCCATAATCTCTTGAGTCCAAACTCTGAATCCAAAAAGCTCCGAAAACATCTTCCTATAACTCATTTGACAGCAAAATGTAAACAAACCAAAAGGATTAGTCTGTTCCACTGGACACACACACCCTGGGATGTGTTTGCCATGGAGGGCTGGCATGGTAAGTGGATGATGTGTTACACATACCTTTTAAGATCCAAACAACTTCTGAAGTCTGAGATGCATCTGTGAAGGCACCAAGGTCCCACACAATCTGGTGTGCCTTGAGTGGAAGGTGGCTGTACCTAGATGATGGTGGGAAAACCAARGGTCCTAACTGAGGGCGGGTCTGATTGCATGATGACAATCACCATTCAGCGCTGACAACTGCAAGAAGACTGAAGGAGGAGGCCTGCCGGTTCAGGAAAACAGTAACGATGCTGTGTCTGATTCATTTATATTTTGAAAGAGTCAAGAAACACTTAAGGCTTCCACCAGACCAAAAGAAATAGAAATTAAATTCCAAAGATTATTTTAAAAACTGATAAGCCTTAGCCACCAAGTGGATATGGCAGTGCAGAGAAGAGGAGGCTCTGGTGAGCTTGCTTTCTGGCCTGGAGGCTTGGGTGGACAGTAYTGACGGGCATTAGGACAGAGCATGTGGAGGAAAGCACAGGAGTGTTTTTATGTTGCTGCTTCGTTTTGTTTGAGCTATACAGAACAAAGAAAATGACCAGAAAGTTATCAGAATTCTGGGGGAAACTGGAGTTGCCTGGAACGTAGCAGCATGGGCCCAGCAAACACTACCTGCTACAACTCCACACCAACGCAGCACGGCTCTGCAGATCAGATATTGAAGCCCAGCCTGAGACACACAGGACATCAGAATGAATGACCCTGGAAAGGCTTCTGCTACATAGCACCGAGTCAGGAAAGGTGCCACCGTGAATGCCCCCGGGAGGCACACGGCAAGGCCTGCTGCCTGTCATCGGAGCAGCGGAAATGGCAGTGCACATTTCTAAGCATGAATCAAGCCCAGTATGTTCTGAATACCCATCGTGTGTCCGGGTGTTAAAGTAATAAGCACGCAAAAATGACTGCAGCCCATGGGCCTCCTCTCAAGAAGCTCAGAATCAAAAAGCAGCAGCTCAGAATCCAGTGAGACCACCATGCACACAAGATCAAAGTGCAGCAGCTGGACACAGGGCTGTGAGGACACCTGTGGGGACAGGCCTTCTGCTGCAGTCAGGCAGCCCCCAACAGCTAAGGTGCGACTGGCAGGCCAGGTCCTGGGTCAAAGCCAGTTCCATGGACTGCGTTTATTTGGCCTGCAGGCTGAGGATGACATTTATATTCTAAACAGTTTTTTTAAAAATCAGGTAATATTTCATAAGACATGACAATCTCATCGAATTCCAATTTTAACACTTGTAAAATTTCATTATAACACAGCAAGATCTGCCATTTACATATTGTCTATGATGCTCTTCTGAGGCAAGGGCAGAGCTGAGTAGCTGAGGTGAAGACCACACAGTGTTCAAACCTGAAATACTGACTAGTCCACTACAGACAGTTTTAAGGCTGATCTAAGGCTGCATCACAAGGGAATTCAGGGTTTCTGTGGGGGGGGGGGTGTCTTCCTGGCACAAGGCTCACTACAACTCTCTGCACAGAAGAATCTGGCCAGTGTGGAGGACTGCATATAAATAAATAAAATAAAGGTCCAGTGAYAACTTAAAAAAATWAAAAAATAAAATAAAATAAAAAGGGCTGGGGATGTGGCTCAGTGGTTAAGCAGCCCTGGGTTTAAAATCCTCAAAACCAAAACCAAAAACAAAAACAAAAAAACTTTTAAGAGTGGCTTTTTTGTTCTATATCTGATCTCTCACCCTGCCTATCTTCTCACAAGTTCTAGGTACTTAGTTTTCTTTTTTCAAAGCRTAGTGAGTAGAGTACAGACCTAGAAATTGGGCCTGTAGAATCCAGCTTTGTTACCTAAGAAACATTGATCCTCAGAGATTGGGGATAAAGAT